CACGACTCATTGAGGAATTGAAGAGCTACGGGAAGACGGGTGAGCTGATCAGTGACGAGAATGCTAGCCCCATGGCTGGGCCTGGAACTATCGACGGTGGAGAACAGTGGGCGGATGCGAATGGAAATGGCATACCTGACGACGTCGAGGATCAATTTTCGGATGTGGAAGAGTGGGCTAATAGTTTAGTACCAAGTGGTTACTAGATAGCAAATCGCATTTGGCAGCGCGTATCGCAAAATACTAACTCGGTTTCTTTCAAAATGTTCAGGTTGATTAATCATTTATTTACTGTAAAGAATGTGCACTTGAAGTGGAGTGACTAAGCATATGCCAATACCGAAAACGCAGCCTGGCTGATAAGATACAAAGTTTCATCTTCGCATCAAAGCCTCTCTCGTAGCCACCTATGCGGAAGCAATTTGAGCCCTCAAGAAGATTGGTGCCTGTACAGCAGCCTCATCCGAGTATAGGAGATGCGCAGGGGTGATGATGAGTGTTCCAGTGCAGACCAAGTCGCCAGTCTCGCAGTAGACCCTAGTCTTGCTGGTTGGGAAGCCGGGGATTCTTCCGCCATCTGGGACGTTGTTAGAGACTGTTGTATAGGATGTTAAGAGAAGGAAAGAGCTTACTTTGAAGGTTCTTGGTGTAGCCAAACAGCACTACGCCCTTGATCTGGTTCTGTACAGCAGCACTCAGACCGGTAATAGCGTTCGACATGACGGCAGCGCCTTGAGAGTAGCCACCTGCAGTGATAGGCGTGTTGGGGCACTTGCTCGCAGCAAGGTTGAAGAGACGTTGAGCTTCGCGGATGGCGGCTTGAGAAGTACCGGCTGGAAGCGTGTTCTCTGCGATACCAGCAGTGTATGGGCCGCCTACACCCTGGATCCAGGTAGTGGATGCTCCATATGCGCTTTCGAGAGCGCTGGCTGTGAAAGGACCAACTAAGGCGCCCATGTTGCCAGCTTCAGTGCTGCCTCTTGCAAAGATGAAGATGGTTCTTGGGCAAGCAGCGCTGCTGCCGCTCTCCAGCTCATTACGAGTAGCGCTTGACTGGCGAGCTTCGAGTGTAATGGGCTGGGGCGCATCCGCCGGCGCAGAGGCGGGTACAGCGATTGGGGAAGAAAGAACGAGGGAAGCAAAAAGAGAAAGAATGGTGATGGACTTCATGTTGACGATTGTAGTAACGATGGGCAATGCCTGGTGGCTCTGAAGAGAGAAGAAGTAGAGGGAAGCTGGAAGTTGGCTGCTTGACTGTGCTGTGGTCCTTCCGATAAGGGTTCCCTCCTTCCCTTTATGTTCCTCTCAGCATGTCCAAGATACTGGTTGCAAATCCACATCCTTCGCGCCTACCTCGGTATTGAGACTGCCTAGAATCTTGTAATGCATCTCGAGTAGTGGTTGACGGACGTGAACTCCCCAAAAGAGGGCTGTGACCGTCCTACCAGGTGTCACAACAATTCGAGATACACTTGGCGTTTCTGCTCTTACCCCCATAGGCAAGACCTTGACTTGAAGAGATCTAGTGAGCAGATGCAGAGCCTTTGAGGTAATAGAGCAGAAACGGCAACAGTGGTCCGAAGTATTGTGACACCTGGTAGTCCTTTGTCTCCGAGATCGAGATCTGGTATTTGGCGTTGACCTTCGAACATCTGACCAGTAGGCATCATGTTTGAATCTGAGCTTCCTCGGTCCAGGAGATGGTGCCTGGGATGTTATCCTGGGCGTGCATGTACGGGAGACATGGATAGAGCTGATGGTGGGATGAACTGGTCGCGTGGTAGTCGGACGAGGATTTGCTGCTAGGTTCATTGGACGCTATTGGACTTTCAGGTCAAGCTCGCGAATCGAAGCCGAGGCACGGTTGAATCTACATGGATGCGATGAAGTCCTGGCCTGAGTGGGATGGAAGCTCGTGATGTGGGGTACATACACTGGAGCTCTCTTTCGCGGGAATATACCCCGCACATCCACTACGGGAGCGCGCTAAGGGCCCCAGATGATTTGAAGCGAACGGTGTCGGGGCAAGATACCCGATTCTGACGTTTGCCGTCTTTACAGGCGTTGGAGGTTTTGGTGTTGTTTACCTCGCTCCTGTAGGCTAAGGGAAGAACGGCATGAAGGATTGGTACCTTCCGCATAGGGACACCGTGCATACAACGCATACAAACAATACTCAGATCATCTCTGGGTTGAAGGATTTAGTTTAGGCAGTTCTTCCAAAAAGAAAGGGAGGTTATCGGATTACGGCTAAAATACCATGCCTGCGTGGGATATCCCGCGTCTACCCACAAGCTAATGTTGCATCAAAGCAGCTGCCGTATGTACCTTGTTGGGCGTTCTGGTTCGTCGCTTCGGAGGACTCAGTGGTACGTAAGACAGAACCCTGGCGCTGGCGCATCCCAGGATGAAGACGAACGCATAGAACGTCAGCAGATTCTGAAATACGGCCAACGTTGTCACGCCATAGATCAATGTACACAATGGCCAGAAGAATTCCGATACGTATGTCCATACGTAAACCGCGAAGCGACGAAGACTGTTCAAAGACATTTGAACGCGTGCTCGATAGGCGTGGAGGTACTCGGTTGTCGTTGGAGGCGCAAGTATTCTGTCCCAGTGTTCTCGTCGCGCCTCGTGTGTCCATGTACGCACGCCAAGAGGTCCGGCTGCCCTAGTCTCGAGAAGATATTTCCATATAATCTTCAGCTGCCTATCCCAGCTATAAGGCTTCTCCTGTTGCAAGAATCTCTCCCATTTCTTTACAGTATTGACTGCCATCTCTTCGGTGACCTGAAACCATTCCTTGTGTGCTTTGGACTCCTTGTTCGCGCTGACGCGCCCGTGATGTTCGCAATGGAATGGTGCACAGCAGTTCTCCAGGTCGATATGCACAAGCTTCTCTAGGCGACCACAATGATCAATCTCGTGATCTGACACGTGAATCACACTGGGCAGGAAGCCACAGGCTCTTTCGTGCTCAATGATTCGGTCTCTATAGGCTCGTTTCGTCTTTCCGATCTTGTAACCTCTGGATTTGTTGTTTGGGTCACATAGAACATAGATGACCCCTTTCCGATCGCCAGGAGTCGGATTCTTGAGCAGCTCTCCATACAAGCTGTCGTGGGTAGATCTGGCGGTCTTTGGGGTCAGGACTGGTGAGAAGCCATCGTGCTCTTGATGAGGTTGCTGATTCGCTTCGGCGTGAGAGGGTGATGAGGAATACCGCACTTCCGATGTGGATAGCCCATCCACTTCAAGACCTTGACTACCATCACGCCGTGGACGCTTACGTGGGATGCAGTCATGATGAATTCGTGCGACGTCATCGATGATTTGTTTTGGGCGTCCGATGGAGTCAGAGACTGTTCGGGATGGCTGACTGGAAGATTTGTCCCGAGTAGTTGACGCAGCCAGGCGTTGCGATCTGGCGATGGCTTTGCGAATTGGTGAACCAGTAGAGGTCAGGGTGGGGTCGCTTTGGGTATCCATGAAGCGCGGTCTGGGTGTGGGAGGTTGAATTGACTTGACTTTTGAACTGGTAGGTATGTGTCTTGTTTCTAGCTGCGAGTCTTTCCCAAGGCCATGTAGCTTGTAACCCGAAGAATTGCTGAAAGAGGTATCGAGAACCATGTCTGTAAGCAGGGTTGATAGATGAAAGACGGAGTAGATGATCGATGTGTACAGAGGGAGGAATCTGGGCTGGATGCCATTTAAACCTATGCGCTGAATTTATCAACGCGTTGTAGGATCACTTCCCCAGCAACTGCAGAGTTCGCATGAAGATACGTGTGGCGGTGCTGAATGTCACTGCTGTGCCGAATGCTTGGATTGTTTCGTAGGCTTCATAGCAGCCTTGCATCGGCGGCCGAGCAGAATAACACGATGAGCACTCTTAGCTCCTAGCACTATCTCGGTCTTTTTGTTAGCATCGATAGCAAGACTCGCGAAGAATCGCTGTGTGCAGCAGACCAGTGATGGGCGCGTTGGTACGGACCCAGGGACACTTGTTACCCACGCGCTGCATTCCACGTGCAGATACAGCGGCTGTGCCCATCCCACAGTTACTACGAACAGCTAGTGCGGCTGCCTGCGGTATCAGAATCGCTCCTGCTGTACGCAAAGCTGCGGATGTCGGAAGCTCGTAGCCTTGCTGCCAACGGAGCGATGTTTCCGCGAAGCAGCAGTCGACGGCCATGATTCGCTATTTTTCGAGGCTGAATGCGCCCGAGACGTTTACGGTGTTGTGGCTGTGGCGGTGGTTTCTACGAAGAAGCAATTTGCTGTGAGGGCGACAGGAGGCAGCGACGTTTCGCGCGTCATCACGCGCTCTTTGGCGAGGGATCACAAAGCCGAGCCGGAACAACAAACGCAAGGTAATAGCACCAAGGTCGTTGGGAAGCAGTCGTGCCGCATACCGCATCTATCTCTGGGTACTTCCGAAATTTGTACCCTTTTGTGGCATCTTAGCGCAGACGCGTCGGGTACGGGCAAGCAGCGCGATGTCATCAAGTTGTACATCCACTATAGTTTGACCGGTGACGATGTCCGCGTTCTCAACTGTTTTCTGGCGCGATGACGCGTTGATACTCTTCGCGCAGCTGCCAACGGCGCAATGCTTTGATCGGCATGCATCAGTCGGTTGGCAAACTGCATATGAGGTGTAGCTCTGGTCTCACTGACTGGAGAGGGAGGTGGTGCTGCGATACTATGATGCGTGCAGATACCTCAATGGCTCCTCCGGCTTGGGGAACAAGGAATGTGGGGCGCGCTAGTATTCCCGGCGTTAGTCCGCGTTCCGAGATGTCGCCTCAGGGCTTTGAACATGTTCACCGACACTCGCATGCTGGCCCTTTCCTTTCACTGATGCCTAGCGGAGTTGCGTAAGATCTCGTCTACATGCTATTCTCTGCTCACCCAAGTTTACATCAGCTGGGGCTAAAGTGGAAGGAAGTGTTGTCCAAGTAGGTGCTGACGGGCATCTGAAAACGGTGCATGTCATGGCGTCCTTCCAGATTCCACTATCATCGGCTCCAACATTTTCTGACACACCACCAATATCGCACTGCCATCGCATTTGGGTCAGTACGGTCACTTACGCCTCTTCTGGATATTGCTGATCTCACCAGAATACGGAAGCAGCCCGATTCACGCCATGTGCTCTGCCATTCGTAGCAACAATACCAGCCATACTGGCAGCATTGGTACTGCTGAAATACTCGCTGCAAGTTGCGGACGGCTACTGGCCGGGATGGACAAAGCCGTTCGTACGCGAGGAAAAGGACAAGTCGGATGAATTGGAGACATCCTCTACACCGCAGCCTCTGGGCAGCACATTTGGCCTGCTAGTCCTAGCTACGGTTGGACTTACATTCCAGATCCTGAGTGCTTTCTTTCCCATCCGACAATCGACCGCGTTTTATCCCGCCATCGCATGGGTACGTACAATGTGACGAGATTGCGATTGTCGATTAACAAGTATTGCAGGCCATCGTGGCAGCGATTGTCATCGTGAAGCGTCCAAGAAAAGCTTCATTGTCGTTGTTGCTTCTCTTCACGAGTCTTCTACTCGAACAGCTGGTCACACTAATCCACAAGGAGAGCCCACTCCTAGCTAAAGATGTTCCTTGGACCGTCGCACCCGTAGCGGCTGCACTAGGCATCGTTCTGGTTCTCAATATGCCTCTCCGGGACCCAAGGCTACCTAGGAAAGATATTAGCCCAGCTTTTGCCACTCCCACGGTGCAACTTAGGACTCCCGAGGATAACTTGACTCCTTGGCAGTACATGACAGTGTCATGGATGGAACCATTGATCAAAAAAGGCGTGACACGTCAGATGGAAGACGAGGATATATGGGATCTTGGCTGGGAATTCAAGCACGCGCGGCTGCACGAGGCATTCCGAAAACTACAGGGTTCGGTGACAAAACGAGTCTTCTTTGCAAACGGCATGGACTTGGTTTTTACGACTGTCCTCAACGTTGTTCGGATGTGCGCAAGTAAGTGACGTACCCTATGTCGCTTGAGACGAATTTGACATTAGCAGCTCTACTCACCCCTGTGCTTTTGCAGCGGGTCCTCGCATCCATGGAAGATAAGAACAGCAGTGCTACGATCACCTACGCCTGTATCATTCTCGTCTTGAGACTAGCATCTGCCCAGCTTAACATCTTCAATCTGTGGCATCAGAGGCGGTCATACGAGAGATGCAGAGGCGAGCTCATCACCATGCTTTACGAGAAGACTCTGCATCGTAAAATTCTGGGGGCCAAACAAGACGTCAAGGAAGATCAGACGAATGGCCACAGTAACTCTGAAGCAGACGAGGCGGGTAGCAGTCTTGACAGCACGAGCAAGGCAGCAAGCGGAAGCTGGCTACAACGTGTGGTCACTTCTGTCCGATCTATGTTCACAAAGAACATCAAGACACAGGTCAAAGACGAAAACCAGGCTGCATCGATGGGCAAGATCCTCAATTTGATGCGAAACGACGCTTATGAGGTAGCACAGCGCTTCTGGGAGTTTTCTGATATCATCACTAAGCCTGCAGGTGCCATATTCGCAACCATACTAATATGGCGAATGTTAGGTTGGGCGTGCCTACTTGGTGTTTTGGCACTGGGTGCTTCTCAGCTCCTTAACATCGTGATCGCCCGCTTTCAGGTCTATTTCGAGAAAAAGCGCAGAATTGCGACCGACGAGAAACTGCAACGTACAAGTCAGTTCATAGAGTCCATCCGCCATCTGCGCTGGTACGGCTGGCAAGGCGCATGGTTGGAGGGAATCCTTGAGTCTCGTCAAAAAGAGCTGCATCTTCGTGTGGTCAACATCATCTTCTCGACATCGCTCTCCTTCATTCTCCGCTTCGGATCGGGACTATTCCCTGCGGTTGCCTTCTACGCTTTTACTAAATTAGCCGGTCAGCAGTTACGCGTTGATTTGATCTTCCCTGCTTTCGATCTATTCAATCTATTAGAGTCGTACCTCAGGGCGCTTCCGCAACTCGTCACTACCGTGCTCAATGCATACGTTGCGATGGGTCGCATTGAAGAGTTCATGGCCGAGCCAGACAAAGAAGAGACGGATGTAGTACCAGAAGGGTCTGCTGACCTCGGCCTTCACAATGCATCTTTCGCGTGGCCTGGGGTTGACCACGATGTCCTCCAGGATATCACGTTCTCTTTCCCCCCAGGACTGACCGTGATATACGGAGAAGTCGCTGCCGGTAAGACGGCGTTGCTACAAGCCTTACTTGGCGAGCTTGACATCACAGCTGGTGAGCTGGTGCGGCCTGATCAGGTAGTAGCATATTGCGCACAAACGCCATGGCTCCAGAGCATGAGTATTCGCGATAACATACTTTTCTCCTACCCTTACGAAGAGGGTCGCTACAAGCAGACTCTGGAAGCGTGTGCCTTATTACCTGATATGGCAGAGCTCAAGCACGGAGATCTGTCGAACATTGGCGAAAACGGCATTGGCTTGTCTGGTGGTCAGAAGGCTCGTGTAGCATTGGCGCGAGCTGTATACAGTCGCGCGAAGGTACTTCTTCTTGACGATCCGCTATCCGCCCTTGACCACCAGACAGCCGAATTCATCGTTGGCAAACTACTAGCTGGGCCATTACTCGATGGCAGAACGACTGTTCTTGTCACACATCGAACAGAACTTTGCCACGGTATCGCGAAGCAATGGGTCCATTTAGAACAGGGCAGAGCGACTCTTCACGAGCCAAGCCAAGTTGAAGACGCGAATGCCCTAAAGCGCACCCAGACCAATGATACTGAGTCAGAGGAAGACGCCAAGAAGCGAGAAGAAGAGCAAGCAGCGGCTGTACCCGACAAGTTTATCGAAGATGAACATCGTGAGAAAGGTGGCGTCAAGTGGAGTGTATACTGGCGCTACATTAGAGCAGGTACGCTGCGATGGTGGTCTGTTGCCATTATCGTCATGGCCCTCTTCCGTGTGCTGGATGTTGCGCAGACATGGTTCATTAAGTCGTGGGCAGAGAGTTACAACGAGGATGATCACAAGGGTATCTTCGACTTCCTGCCTCCAGCCGCAGACGACGTGGTTCCATGGCTCTGGACTTTCTTCGGATTTGTCTCCGCAACTGCCATACTTTTCTGGTTCACGAACCTCATCATGTTTGGCGTAGGCTACCATGCCGCCAAGACCATCTTCAGAGAGACCATTGAACGCGTTGCACATGCGACATTCCGATTTTACGACGTAACGCCAGTGGGACGACTGATGAACCGATTGACAAGTGACATGAACACCATCGATGGCGATCTGAGCACTGCCTTCATCGTCTTCGCATGGCAGATCATAGGCTGGACGAGTGCTGTCATTATAATCTTGTCTTCGACACCAGCATTCCTAGCTTTCGGTTTGGTGCTTAGCTGCGGATTCGTCTATTATTTCTTCCGTTTTCTACCAACGTCGCAAAGCCTGAGGCGGCTCGAAGTAAGTCACTCGGCCTCAATCAACATGTCCCCTACTAACTAGGACTAGATGGTATCACTCTCGCCACTCATGAGCAATTTTGGCGCACTTTTGGAAGGCCTGACAACTGTGAGAGCTTTCAGCGCGCAACAACGATTCCAGACCCGTGTCATCGAGGTGGTCGACAACTTTCAGAAGAATGATCACTTCTACTGGTCACTTCAAGCATGGCTTGCGCTTCGTTTCAGCGTCATGTCGGCTAGCGCTACGCTCGTTATGACACTCATCGCTGTCTACACACACATCAGTCCCGGTCTTACCGCATTTGTGTTGATTACCGCTGGCAAATTCGTCATACATACGGAGTATATGTGCAGGATATACGGAACGCTGGAGATGGACTTCACCAGCGTCGAGCGTGTCGTTGAGCTCCTTGATATTGAGACGGAAGCACCCGGTGTTGTTCAGCCACCCGCACACTGGCCTACCTATAGTGGCGACATCGAGTTCGATGATGTGACCATTCGATACGCAGAGAACCTCGAGCCTGCGTTGCAAAACATCACTCTAAAGATCCCTGCGGGATCCAACACCGCGGTAATTGGGCGAACGGGTTCTGGAAAGTCTACTTTGGCTCTCTCCCTCCTCGCCACTATTGCTGCGGAAAACGGCAGGATCTTGATTGATGGGATCGATATCTCCACCGTGGACAAGCAGGCGCTTCGCAGTCGCGTCACTTTCCTCGCGCAGGAACCAGTTCTCTTCCCCGGCACCATGCGCAAGAACCTGGACCCGTTATCTGTTTACTCCGATGCATCTTGTCTATCTGTGTTGCAGAAGATCGGCGGGGATCAATACAATTGGACGCTTACAACCTCGATCGAAGGTGGTGGCAAGGGTCTCTCACAGGGCCAACGGCAGCTTGTTGGTCTGGCTAGAGCCATGTTGAGGAGAAGCCCAATACTGATTATGGACGAGGCGACGGCCAGCATTGATTTCGAAACCGCGCAAAGAATACAGAGCGTTCTTAGGGAGGAGATGAAGAGCAGTACAGTAGTCACCATCGCGCATCGACTGGAAGCAGTCAAGGAGGCTGACTATTGTATCGTGCTTGGAAAGGGCAAGTTGGTCAAGGCTGGCAAAGCCGAGGACATGCTTAGGGAAGGCGGCGAGTTCCAGGGTATGTTGGCGTAGAGGTTTAGGGGAAGATGAATCCGGCTTGCAGAGATTGTTACAATCAGGTTCGGTTTATGGTTGGCGTTCTAATCTCGATTAGAGGAAAAGTTATTGACATAGACTACTTGTATCGTGTCGCTGTTTTTCAATTCAACGACTTTCTTATCGTTCCGTCTTCTTTACGACGTTACTACGTTAGGCAGTTGTGATTACATACCGTCGATGACAGCAAATCTAGGCCGAGGTCTCCCGCTCTATATGGTTAGCGTGATCACTCATGCAAGTATGGAGGTGAAGGTGAACGTACGACCGTTTGCAGGTCTAGCTGCCCAATTGCGGATGTTCCCAAATAGGAAACTTCCAGACCAAGCGTGGATTGCGGCAACGTGACTGTCCTTGACGATGCCCGACAGTCTTCAACGCTGCTTGTGCTGCTTACTGATGCGATGTCGCAACGAGGACTTTTTGTGTATATCACGACCTGTCAGAAGCACATCGAGTGTATAGCATGGGTCAAGCGTTGTATTCTTCTTATGTCACGGTACTCTCTCATGCAAGCACCATTGATTGCGGACGTTCAAAAAATGAATGTCGCTCCTGAAGCCGGATTCCGGGTCCAGGCATGAGGCTTGCGTGGCACCGCCACGATTTGCGTTAGTCGGCAGGGATGTGGGATGAGCGCATTGGTCGCATTTGGGAAATCGCAGACGCCGCATGTTCCGCGCCTGCAAAGCCTCGCAAACCTCAGTTGGCTTTGATATTCGCCATTATTCAGCATGCGGTGACACCCGAAGAGCCCCTCCAGACTCCCGAACCATCTTGAATCGCTACAGCGCCTCTGAAGCCGCCCTACCACGATCCGGAGGTGTCGTCAGCTCCGCAACCATACAGCATCACGCGGACCCCCGAGATGGCTGCTAACACGCAGTCGGACAGCAATGCAACCTCTCCAGGCGACCACGAACTCGAGGTCATGGCGGACAATAAGCCCAGCCTCCCGGTAGAGGAGGACATCATGCAGCTGGCGCGACTGGGTGAGATTGCGGCTATACAGAAACTCTTCGACGGCGGCAAGTTCGATGCGACATACAAGGACGAGCAGGGCATAACGCCGCTACATGTGGGTATCACAGAGCATTGGAGCATGTTTCGGGGCTGACTATGAGTAGTGGGCGGCTATCAACAATCACTACGCGCTCTGCCACTTCCTCATCCAGGCCGGCGCGCCCATCAACGCAAAGGGCGGCGATGCTGTCGCGACACCCGTGCTCTGGGCCGCAAAGCGCTGCAACTACTACATCGTCAATCTCCTCCTCGACCACGGCGCCGATCCGCTCCTCACCGACGACCAGGGCTTCAATCTCCTGCACAGCGCAACCCTCGATGGCAATGTGTACCAGATTGTCCTGCTACTACACCAAGACATACCCGTGGATATCGCAGATCCGCAGAGTCACACCCCGCTCATGTGGGCGGCATACAAGGGCTATCCGTCTTGCGTGGACCTGTTTCTCCGATGGGGTGCCAACGTATATGCGACGGACGACCAAGGCTTCACGGCATTGCATTGGGCGCTTGTCAAGGGCAGTCAGGGATCGATACAGAAGCTGCTCGAGTACGGAGCGGACCGGTTCGCCAAGAACAACGACGGCAAGACGCCAGAGGTCACGGCGCAGGAGATGAATACCACCCGGCAATGGCGTCGCGCTCTCATGGAAGCTGGCTTCGACAAGAATGGAAACGCGCGGCAGTTCCCCATCCCGGGAGTGAAAGACACGAGGTGGTTCCTGAGCCGATTCATCTTCTTCTGGCCCTTTGCCATTCTGTTCGTTGCGCTTTCTCTTGTCAGCCATCTGCCAGCGTTTCTTGGTATACCATTGGCCGTGATTGTTGCGTACGTTATGCAATGGGGAGCGCAAAGGTTGTTGCGCTGGGGTCCCTCGAACATGCGAAGCATACATCATACTGTGAGTCGAGTGCTCAAACACATGCGCCTAGTCGCTGACGAGCTTCCAGCCTTTCCTAGCCGGTATCTTCGCTGGCACGCTTTTCTGGGTCGGTGCACGGTGGGCAACGACTGTATTACCGTGTAAGCCATCTTATCTTACACACAGATATCTCGCTAACACAAACGAGGGACGATACGAACGAACTTTCTTCTTAACTTCCTATTTGCGGCGTTTTACGCATCTACGGCCTATTTTTACTTCTTCACTATGACCACTGATCCCGGCTTCGTGCCCAAGTCGGCGAGCAGAAGTGCATCCAAAGCGGTTATTGATGAGCTCATGGAGCTACGACAGTTCGATGAACACCATTTCTGTGTGAATTGTATGGTGCGGAAACCGTTGCGCAGTAAGCATTGCAAGCGCTGCGAGCGTTGCGTCGCGAAGAGTGATCAGTAAGTGTTCCACGTAGGCAGTGAGTGTGGCACTAACTATGACAGTCATTGTCCGTGGGTTAACAATTGTGTGGCGAACAACAATCACAGACATTTTGTTCTATACGTACTGTCTTTGGAGCTCGGTATTGTCATGTTCATCAGGCTGGCACTTGCTTGTAGGTCATCACACCCTGAGTTTGCACTATGAAGCTAACTGGCGCAGACTTGGAGATACGTGACGCACCCACGGATTACCCCAAATGCGCCGTCATCTCACCGGAACTTTGCAAAGTCCTCAACAAAGATCCTTTCACGATTGTGCTCTCAATATGGGCAGCTTTCCAGTTGACTTGGGTGACCATGCTTCTCTGTGTCCAGCTGCTTCAGATTGCGCGGAACCTCACAACCTACGAGAGCATGCGCGGTCATCTCCATGGCGCTACACCCGCAGATGCACTCAACTCCTTTGTTACGACCGGCGACACCAGTCAAGATGTATCTGGCGGTGCCGGCAGCGCACCAACGAACGGGTTTGGATCCGGTCAAGATACGGGCGACATCCCCCGGCGTCCTCAACCCAAAGCCTCCATCTGGGACCAGTGGAAGCGTCTCCTGGGAATCGACACATTCCTTACCATCGCCCTTCACGGAAGTCAAGGAGAGCAAATACGGCGGCAAAGGAGAGGGAACCCCTTTTCACGTGGCATCGTTACGAATTGCAAGGATTTTTGGTGCGATGCCAGTCCAATGTTTGGCACGAAGGAAAGTGGTTATGCGAGGCTTGGTGGTGAGCGAGTAGATTATACGAGGTTGTATGAGGTGCCAAAGATGAGGTATCAGCGGGGCGGAGGGGGTGAGGGAGGGAGATATGAGAGCGTAGCTGCGGAAGAGGAGTCATGATGATGATGCAGACGGTAGTAATGTTAATGATGATGAAGAGTGTGAAAGAGTATCTGCGTATAGACACGTGCGAGAGTTTCTCTGTACCATATCGGCTACTAAAGTGTTGCCGAAACCCCTGCAGCTTCAGCCATACCGGAAGCCAGAAGCCGAGGGTGCAGCGAAGAAACTCCCCGCGCCACCCTAAACAACCCGTCGTGGGTCGCGCACATGCTCGACGCTCCACAGCCCTGCTCAGCTCCGTCGCCTGGCGTTTTTGCTGAGCTTTCTTCTCCGCAATGCCATAGATCCCACTTGTTTCTTTCCTTACTGTCATCGTCGCGAGCTTTTAGGCTGTGCGCCAGATGTCGAAAATGACATCATCCGAGGCCCTGAGAGGGTTGAGGACCCTTTCGCGGTGCGCTGGCCCGGCGCCGAGGAGCATCGCGGCCAGACAGAATTTGGCTGTCGAAAGCAGAAGAGCGCTATGTACGAACTGCGCAAGGAACTCGAGAGCGACGGGCAATGCACGAGGGCTTGTTCTGGCACGCACGAACAAGCTGGCGCATGCTTCGAGCAGAGTTTCTTTTGCGCCGGTGGGCCGCAGAGGATACGCACAGGCTGCGCAAGAGTGTACGTTCGGTAAATAGTAGAGCGACTGCATGGACCGAGTGCTGATCTTCCTAGATGCGCCGGACCAGTCTGAACAGACCCATGGGCCCATGGCCGAGTACGATGCGCGTGTTGAGTCCGGACGACTGCGAGACGACGAGCACCAGCGCAACATTATCAGGAACCTGCAAGATCTTCATGACATGCTGAAATCCTACACGCAACCGCCCGTTCAACAACCTACGATCGAGTCCCTACAGCCGCCCAAGAAGTCGTTCTTCTCCTTCCTCACGTCGTCCAACTCCGCGGGGTCGGCTCTACCACCTATACCCGATTCGCTGCCAAAGGGCATGTACATGTTTGGCGATGTTGGCAGTGGGAAGACAATGATGATGGATCTGTTCTACGACACTCTGCCGCCGAACATCAAGAGGAAGACAAGGATACATTTCCACGCGTTTATGCAGAGCGTACACAAGGATTTGCACAAGATGAAGATGCAGCATGGGAATGATATTGACAGTATACCCTTTGTAGCAGCGGGTATAGCAGAGCGCTCCTCTGTCCTCTGTTTCGACGAGTTCCAGTGTACGGACGTTGCCGACGCCATGATCCTAAGACGACTGATAGAGAGCTTGATGGCCCACGGAACCGTCATTGTCACGACGAGTAACAGACACCCGAACGACCTCTACAAGAACGGAATACAAAGGGAGAGTTTCGTGCCCTGCATAAACCTTCTCAAAACGAGGCTTACAGTCCTGAACCTGGATTCTTCGACAGATTACAGGAAGATTCCACGGCCACCAAGCGGTGTATACCACCATCCTCTAGATGCCTCCGCACAAACCCATGTAGAGAGATGGTTCCGCTTCCTCGGCGATTTCGAAAACGACCCCCCACACCCCGCAATCCATGAAGTATGGGGAAGAGAGGTCCGCGTGCCGAAGGCCAGTGGGAAGTGCGCCGTATTTAGTTTTGACGACATCATCGGACGCGCTACGGGAGCAGCCGATTACCTCGAACTCACGAGACAATATGAGGCGTTTATCATTACAGGGGTGCCTGGAATGAACCACAGGTCAAGAGACTTGGCGCGGAGATTCATCACCTTTATAGATGCCGTGTACGAATCAAGGGTAAG